AGACTCGTCACAATAGCTTGCTATTGGGGTCTTTGAGAGTCGCCTTGGTGTTGCACTATTGCCTTGGCCAGGCTCACCCCTCCAATCTTAGTTAAAAATCATTTTGCCAGCTATATTAAGCCCTTTACAAACTAAAGATTGCAGCTTTACAGGTATATTAAGCCCTTCATAGATAGAATGCTGATTCTAATGGTATTACTAAAAAGGGCTGAAATAAATTGTACACAAGCAGCCAGTTTTCATTAATTAATCCAGAATTCGGGATGCACAAGGGTGTTAAATAAAACTTGGTGAACTGGTAGATGAACTACATCATGGAATTCTAAGAAATACCTGGGGATGGAAAAATGAACTACATCATGGAATTCAAATTTTAATGGACTAAAATCTTACCCAGTAAGTTAAAGTGGAAGTGTTGATTCGTACAGGTAAGCACCAAGCTGACAATTTCAACGGAAGGAGCAACGATAGTGGATCCTTTCCATTAGGGACTAATACATCCATCTTCAATCCAGGATGTTCAAAAAGTTGGACCAAAATCAACAGCAAAACTGAAAGAGCCATATAAGTAAAGACCACAAATGGCAGCTTTCTGGTTTTCATAAAACAAACACAATTTATGAGGATCAAAACAAGTTTCCTGGTTTAGTTTTACGATGTTTACAGACTTTCAGTTAGATGTATCGCTACCAGAAAGTCCTAGAAATGGGTGTTGCACAGCTTTACATTAAAGGTATATTAAGCCCTTCATACAAAAAATCAGTTCTTGGCTACCATTAAAGAGGAACTGAAATAATTTGTAGGAGAACAGCTTTCCTTTTTTAACTTGAACTTGATCAATCCAGAATGTGGGTGTTATACTAAAACTTTTAGACAGTCAAATCAATCTGGGACAATAACATTCTGCAAATGAAACATTACGGTAACATGTTATTAATTATTATGCACGGAGGAATGAAGCTGGCTTAGAATCGGGTTTCTTTGAACCCATTCAAGGAATCAACCAGAAATGTTCGGATGCATCCCACATTGCGTGAGTAAATGTTTTAAACAAGATGTCAGTGGCTATAGAAACCATTGACCATGGACTGAACAATCATACCTTTCTCGGCCTTTTGGCTAAGATCAAGTGTAGTATCTGTTCTTATCAGTTTAATATCTGATATGTAGGTCATCGGCTTCCTCGATATTAATCTTATTTTTTTATGGTGGAAGGCCTGCACCAATAGCTTGCTATTGTGGTCTTTGAGAGTCGTCTTGGTGTTGCACTATTGCTTAGGCCCGGCTCACCCCTCCAATTCTAGTTTAATAATGAACTTTGCAGTTGAAGCTCAGAAGCAGTCTTCCACATTTAAAAAACCACATTAAGGGATGTGATGTATAAGAAAAAGTGATAAAGAGAATCTGCCAGTTTTTCCACATACATTCCAAATCAGTAAAAACTCAAAAAACAGCAAAGTAAGATCAAAGTATAGTATTTGTTCTTATTAAGTTGATATGCTGGTTATCGATCCACTCGATATTAATGTTATTTTTAATGGGGAAAGGCTTGTCATAGCTTTTGCTATTGGGGTCTTTGAGAGTCGTGTTGGTGTTGCATTACAACCTTGGTACATGACTTGCCCCTCCAATGCCATTAAAACTTTTTTTCAGGAA